AATCGATCTAGTACTACTTATAAGTAACCTCCGGAATAGCTTTAACTCTATAGATAACTTTAAGCTTATTAACGCTTTAGAAGTCGCCGACTTATCGCTAGTCTTTTCTATAGTATAGTAAGTACTTAATACTAATCGTATTACGCTATTACTTTAAGCTCTATAGAAATAAGCTCTCTCTACTACTCCTAGAAAACTAACTATAGAAAAAGATCTTCTACTTTATAAAAGAAGACTAATTATACTTGACGTTTTATACTTTTATATGCTACTTATACGCGAAGTATATGACTGATTAGAGACTGCTTATCTAAGTGTAAAGAAGACCTTATAACTACTAGTATTATAATACTAGTAGTACGAAATCGCTTTAACTATTAACTAGTACTATTGTAACTATTATATTTACTAATGAATTTAAGTGCTGCGCGATAAGAAACTGGGCCTCCTCTAACCTCTACTCGTATTATCACGTCTATAGGAGTATATTATAGTCGACTACTATAGCTTTAACTGCGATAAATATAGCTATGATAATATTCTTGTATTTATTAACTGTTTTAGTAAATAAGTAATTAGTATTCTATACCGAAAGACCTCTAATACGCGCGATCTTATAAAGCTTTACTTATACTATATATACTACTATTTCGGAGCTCTATTAATAATTACCTCTAATAGAAAGCCTTAATTCGTTTCCTGTTTTTAGACTATAGTTATTACGATTCTTAGTACTAAAAGATAGCTTTCTATAGCAGACTACCTATAAATAGATAGTTAAATAGAGATCTATAACTAATATCTCTAATATAGATTACGACCTTTTATCTCTTACTATTAAGATAACTAATCGGAATTCTTATCTATTATAGACTACGCCTAGATAACTCTCCCTTACGAATCCCTTAGAGGTCTCTTACTTTTTAAAGTCGTTTATAGATATATACCCCGCGTTAATTAGAATTAGAAAGACTTACTTAACTCTACTATACTTATTAATAAGTTAAATACTTAGTAAGCTCTAGATTATACTAATCGTCTGCGCGACACCTAGACTACTGCTTAATTAAGCCTCTAATATACTTAAGCTAAGATATCCTAATCCTATAATCGCTTACGCTATAAAGTCTACTTTACTATAGATAACCTTATTTAGCTAGATATATACTACTTTATAAGTACTTAACTTAGTAAAAAACTCGACTTCCCGACTAATAGACTCTTCTATATAATTAAAAAGGTTAGAAGCTCTTATTATCTAGAGCTCCCTACTAGTATAAAAGTATATAACGTATTCCCTACTACTAAGCTACGGAAGTATCTAAACGACCCCTTATTAGGATAAACCTTATTACTACTACTACTTATTAATATTACTAGTAATAATAAATAGGAGATCGAAGATATACTTACGTGCTATAAATAATATAATAGCTTCTTATATCGAGTTTCCTAGTTAAATTAAGACGTCGATCTTATATAGTACGACGCTATAGATATTAAATACGCTCCCGCTAAGCTATAATAATTCCACCTTAATAACCTAACGTAAGCTAGACCTCCTGCTAGACTACTTAATTAGCTAAAAGCTTTCTACGATAGAATTAATAATTACGATTACCTTAATAGTAATAAGGAGATAGACTAACGCTCGAGGGCGAGCTTTTTTTAGAGGGGGGGGTAGTATAACGACTAGTTAGGTTTAGAGGTCTCTCCCTATTAGTAGAAACACTTACTACTAAGCGAGATTACACGAGTAGAGTTTAAGGGCCCCTTTTTATATATATACTTCTATTCTCTCTCTACTTCTTTACTCCTTAGTTATAGATTCTTAAGTGATTCTTACTACTTCATATTCATAGTAATATGAAGTCTTATTACTCAGGTAGTTTTGAGACCTTTCTAGAGCAAGCGTCACAGTATTCGCCGGCGATTATGCATAAGGCGTATCGTTTCGTGTAGAGTATAATACTTATTTACTAGTCGTACTAGTATTCTCGGGCGTAGGAAGACTAATTTGCGGATAAGAAGAGGAGTTAGTACTATAGCGCTAAGAGGAGGTATTTATAGGGCATTCCCGAGTCGCGCTAGCCTTAGCCGAAGACTCGGAATAATAAGTCTTTTTAATAAATTAACTTTAATCTTCAGCTTATATAGCCTTAATATATTCTTCTAGTGTTCTTAACGTTTAGTACTATTAGAAGAGCTATTTCCGTAGCTATACAGGTAGCTTCTCTTATAAGTCTATTTTCAGAGTCTATTAATTATTTACTTTAGCTTTACGAGCTAGTATACGAAACTCGTAGTAGAACGTCTAGAAAGTCTACTTATAATCTATCTTTAGCGCGGAGTAGCTAGCTCTTATAGTTTATTAGTCGTATAGATTAGATAAGAAGAAGATAAGTTAAGTAATTATATCGAGTGAATCGATTATATTACTTTCTTTATTATATTCTAGTTCTAAGAATAAGAGTTCTAGGTAAGTTCTAGCTATCCCTTCCGTTTAGTTAAGTAACTAATCTTTATAGTAATCTTCGTCGATAAAGTAGCTAGAGTAGTACCGGAGGGCGTTACGTATCTATACTTCCTGGAGTTTTAGAGAGTAATCGATTCTATTAGAGAGCTTATTTAGAAGGTTCGGTATCTTCTCTATACGCGTAGCGTATAATATTAATAATATTCCTCTAGTAGATTATTCTCGACGACGATTATTAGGCGTAAGAGTAGTATTATCTTCTTTAATTAATAATAGTAGTATTATACGCGATTAAATATTATTAAATAATATAGACTTAGTAGAGCGCTAAGTAGTTAACTAGCGTAATTCTAAGAACTTATCTTATAACTAGCGTAGTTCTGCAGATAAGTTAGCGTTTAATTATCTCTTCTCTACGAGCTTCTTTTCTACCTCTTATAGCTAGTGAGCGCGGTCTTCTTATAAGTTACTTATAGTTACTATTAATATAGGAGTATTATCGGGGAGGTTTAGCGACTTAGTGAGTTCGTTAATTATAGTAAGAGTTAGGGAGCTTAACTCGGATAAGGCGTTATCGCGAGTACTCTTTACTATAGAGAGAGGTAAGTTATAGCGAGTATTACGAGTTACTAAAGAATAGGAAGTAGAGGGAGTCGGGGAACTAGTAGTCGATTTATCGGACTTAGGTTACTTCAGTTTAGGTACTATTCTTCAAGTTTATACTTAGTATAAGCTTTCTCTATATAGCGTAATCTCCTGCGTTTAGTAGCTCTAGGCATAGAGGTATAATATAAGTAGATATTTACTATCTTCCTAGATATAAGTAAAAGAGTTATAGATAATATAACGCTCGCTTTAGAAAGGTCTTAAAACTACCTGAGTAATAAGACCTTATATTACTATAAATATAAAGTAGTAAGAATCACTTAAGAATCTATAACTAAGGAGTGAAGAAGTAGAGAGTGAATTGAAGTATATATATGAAAAGGGGCCCCTAAACTCTACTCGTGTAATCTCGCTTAGCAGTAAGTGTTTCTACTAATAGGGAGAAACCTCCAAACCTGACTAGTCGTCACAATTATAGCATATTAATATTTAGTGGAGTTCATACTAAAAGGCGGTGTACCGGCGTTATTTACTGAAGAATCACGCCAAACCGAAGAATAGCTTATAATTGCTTTATTGATTCAGGTACAGCTACGTCAGCTACGCACGCTATAAGTATTTCACGCTAGTCAAAATGGCACCCACTTTTTGTGTGATTTTTGACCCCTCCAAACCCCTCATTCTAAGATTTTACGAATACAACAGCTGCAACAAATTTTCCAATAAACCCTCAAATCTCAAAGAATCTCACAAATGGCTCAAACAATGCACGACCTACCAGCCACCAGAGCCACGGTTCTCATCTCGGGCGAAGGCTCGAATCTGCAAGCTCTTATTGACTCGACGACCACAATAATGCCATACCTCAAAATCGTGCGAGTAATTTCCAACAAAGCCAAAGCCAATGGCCTGAATCGAGCTTCAAAAGCCTCCATCCCAACCAGATATCATAATCTCGTCAGCGGGAAATACCACGCCGCGGGTGAAAAAGATGCCTCTGTCAAGCAAGCTGCGCGCGAGAAATACGACGCCGATCTCGCAGAAATAGTACTGGCAGACTCACCGGATATCGTAATCTGCGCCGGCTGGATGCACATTGTCAGTCCTGCATTCCTGGAGCCGTTGGCAGAGAGGAAAGTGCCGATCATCAATTTACATCCTGCGCTGCCGGGCATGTATGATGGTATTGATGCTATCAAGAGGGCGTATGACGATTACCACAAGGGCAGGCTGGAGAATGACGAGACGGGGATCATGATTCATTATGTCATCCACGAGGTAGATCAGGGGCAGCCGATTGTTACAAGGAAGATACAGTGCAGGAAACCCGAGACGTTAGAGGAGTTGAATGAGAGAGTGCATGCGCAGGAACACGAACTTATCCTGGAGGGAACGGCGATGGCTATACATAATCTATGGGAAGATAGGAAGAAGGGTGATAGCAGCAGGTGACAGGATAAAATACACCCCAAGAGCTAGATGATCATTATTCATATATCCACGTATTTTAGTACTTTTGGCTTGATACTGACAAAATTTAGGAGATACTTCAATGCGCTTAGATGCCTAATTGGTGGGATCGGGAATGTCTTTGATGGCTAATATCAGTGAACACCTGTAATATTGACAGCCAAGTACTTTAAACCGCAGTAGCCAAGATTATTGAAAAGAGTTACCGAGCTGTCAAGTGTAAAAGAAGGACATGTACCCAGCCAAGCGGTGAATTATTGGATCAATCCTCATAGATTTCACAGAAAAAAAGGGGGCCAGAACGTAAGGTAGAAAATGAAAATCTTAGATCTATCGAGAAGGCAAAAAGAGGGAATGTACGTCCTCAACTCTACCGGGAGCTTAATAGGAAAGGAGAAGAGCAAAAGCAATGCACCTTCTGTGCCTTAACCATGAAAGAACCATTCAAAGGTCGTACCCAGGCTCGAACTGAGGCTAGCGACCAGTTAGATGAGAGCCACGGGAGAGACTGTGTCGGGAGAGCTTACACTCGAGAAACCTTCTTTACAGAAGCTGATCCTGTTTTCAGAATCTCACGTGCTAACCACTACACTATACAACCAGTATCATTTACTGAACGATGTCCCCAAATGTCTTATTAATCTATATATTTCTATTGACAATTTTTCCCAAAAATTGCTCAGCGTGTGGATGTGGGGTAATATAGCGGGGTTAAGGACCAATAGTTCGGCTTCTTCATAGTACTTGGTACAGTGGATATCGAAGATGTATGCACGGAAGCCGATGATCAGACGAACCAAGCGACTTGTTTATCCATGGCTTCCAGGTGTGTTTCTGAACATCTGAAATTTTGAAGACTTTGGTGTCTTCCGCACTTTGTTGGTGTCGATTCTGTATACCAGCCCGGAATATCAAACTCCTTGGCGCTGTCTAGCATAAGCGAGTGAAATGAGAATTACTAAGAGTCCAAATCCCATGTGTAAATTGTTTACCATATTTATTTTTCTAATACTTGTCTGTCCATCTCAGTCAGGCTTCGTACAAAGCTCCATCATACGCATCATGCGCGAAGTACAGATTCTATACCATGAGTGCCCCCACGACAGGCAGCAGATATCCGTTCACATGCAAAAGAGAAGAACAATCCTACCACGTTCATATCCAAAGCCTTTTGGCCTCCTCACGATCCAGGATAATCCATCCCCTTATGCAATAATGGAGGGACGCCATCCTCAAAACTACCTCTCCTTCCCCAATTCCTCGGCTGCCTCTTCAAGAAGGCACCCACTGCACCAAGATACCCTTCATGCCGCAGAAAATACGCTTTTTTCTCCCCACCACTCCAAAATTTGATTGCATAGCTGAGTGTATTCATAGTCTGCCTGTGGCCTCTGATGAAGCTTCCTCCGAAATAAATCGTGGACAAAGAATGCTTCTCCGATTGGAGGTAGGCGATTTGGCCTATGTTGTTGGAGATTGCGTAGAGTAAGGAACGAGAAATGTCTGGTGCTGAGAATGGTGCCGAAGGATCTTCTTCCGGTGTCGTGGACTGATCTGGACGAGATAGCGGTTCTGGAGACTCTGAATCGCCGTTTGTAAGACCTCCGCTGTCTTCTGCTTCTCGCTCGGCCTCCCTCTTCATGCGGAACACTTTCCCGAACGAACTCGCGATAGTACTGCTTTTTAATCCTATCTTCCCATAATCACCTCCGTAGATGTCCCCCACTAGCATGTCGACCTTGGAATTGTCTCCTTTCTCAGCCATTCCAAGCATGTCGTCAAAAGTACGAGCTCCTGTAAGGAGAGACAGAAGACCCCAAAGCGTACCGCCTCCTAGAGAAGTACCACCCACTCTTTGGAAGGTTTTCGGTCCTGATACTTTGATCATGCTGACTCCAGATCCTATATTGACTAGCAGGTAAGGATATATATCTGCCCTTGGTTCTTCAAAATGTATTGGATCGGTCTCGCTGTAAGTGAATACCTCGCGAGGAATCTCGGTTATGAAGAAATCCAACCCTGTATTTTGTTAGATTATTTTTGTGCATTCCAGGACACCTTCCATACCAACTATCAAACACTCCATCTCCTCCTCCCTCGAAACATCCACTCCTAGAGCTTTTCGAACCTTGTCATAGAACTTATATGCACCACCTCCTGTGGCCATAACACATAACTCTCCCGGCCTAGATCCATTGAGCTTCTGTTGTTTGATTTTATGCTGCTTCATGAACTCTATGCAATCATCTATCCGGTCCGTCTCGAAGGTAATGAAGTTCAACCGTCCACCAGGATCGCGGGAATGTGGTTCTCGAGAGAAGTAAACTATTTTGGCTAGAGAACCTCCAATCTACCAGGCTTATTAGTAGATGATATTGGCGCATACACAAGAGTTCGGAGGCATACATCAACAGCTATATGGCTCACAACCGCCGTATGATTTGGAAGTCTAATATCTTTGGTCTCATGAGTCCCTCCATTTGAGTCGTTCAGCGAGCCTTCCGTATCATGATCAACAATAAATGCGCCTTTCACATTGATCTTCACAGCCCCAGGATGGATGATTGTACTGTCTATCTCGGCGGTATTTGTGCGCATGCGGAGGGGTATGGTGGGGTTTCCATCAACAGCTGCGCCAGAAGGCACAGGGTCAGGGTCAATCGTCTGCGGCGCAACCGCCGACATTGCAAGTTATTGCTGGGCTGGCGTTCGTGCCAGGAAGAATCAGGAGTTTAAGGAGGCATGAAGAGGATGCTCGCAGTGACTCAGGAACGACCTCCGGCCGAGCGCAAGTGTGAGATTGCTTGCTTACTCCCATTCACAAGCACCCTTATCGATTAAAACTGGAGTTTAGACCATCCCATCCCGTTCTCCGGCAAGCTAGCCTCGGATATGGGCAGTCGCTCATAGTACATTTCAGGTAATGAACTTGTCATGTGAACAATATATCTAGTGTAAGTTACAGAAGCACAGAGATTTTGTCAATGAGTTTTGTCATAATTCTATCTACGGTTGATGTCTATCTTCAATGCTTTGCGCCCAGATCAAAATTACACTTTTGATTTCCGATATCTCAATCCTTCTCGTCGTCGTCTATTGTTCTTCATCCGAATGTCTTGTTCATGAACTGGTGGGCAAGTTCAACTCCCAAGAAGGTCGCTGCATTCGCAGGAACGGCTCTCGCTAAAGCTGGTCCAAAGCCAGGAAAGAAAGACTTCAATCCTCCATTCTTGTAGAGCCCTGAAATGACCCCTCCAACTGTTGGCTTCCCATCCATTGTCTGCAGCCTGCTCTTCACTGTATCGACAGGGAATACAGGAATCCACATAGCCACACCAGCAGCCGCACCTGCACATGTGATGGCCATCAAACTGAGTTGACCCGTTGACTTGCTTGTAGCTGGGTCGACTGGAGTGAGTTTCCGCTTGATGATCTCATACGTTGCAAAGTATGCTGCTGATCCAGGTCCGTCTCGTGCAAGTGTTGCGAAGGAGCCACGGAAGACTGAGCGTACGCCGCCTTCTTTGTATAATTGACGGACAACGTCAACACCGCCGCTGTATTTTGGCTTCTCACCAGGCGCAAGTGTTTTCTGGCCTTGGATTTGAAGTAGGACCTTCACCCGCTCGAAAGGTGCGGTAATAAGAGTCATTGGAATTGCGGAGAAGAAACCAGCGGCTGCTACTTGGCCGACAGAAAATTGGTTGTCTGTGACTGTCGAGTACTTGCGTACCAGACTTTTTCCTACATCGTATCCCCAGAAAGAAACAGCGACTGCGTATGGGAGTTAGCAATTGTCTTCAGAAATATATTGCAGGAGAGTAGAGCTTACACATAGGCGTAACACCCACAAGAGGCGCGCTCACACCAGCATATAGACCCCTTCGCATACCATCTCTTGCAATACTTTTCCTCACGACATCCAATGCGCTGGAATATACACCCCGTTCCGCGGTCTGAAGCCGTACCTTGACCAAATCAAAGGGGTGTCCCACAACCACTGCACATACACCTCCGAATCCTCCAGCTGCTAAACTCCTCAGACCCGCGTATGATTTCTTCTCGGCTTCTCTGACAACTTCTTTGACTTCGGCTGTTGATTCGGGGACGTGGGGAAGCTTGTCCGCGACAGCAGGGGGTAAAGAGTCAATCTTTTGATTGATCTGGGTACCGGTGGAGGACACAGAGGGTGCCATGTTGAGGTATGAAGAAAGATTGCAGAAATTTGGCAACTCTTAAACCAGAGGCAAGGAGAAGAGGAGAAGTAGCAGATGGCTAAAATCGTTTGTTTTTACGACGAAGCCTCGTTGCTTCTCGCTCAGCTCCAGACGTCCTTGAAACTTGCCGAGGCTTACATGTCATTGGTGAACCAGGATTGCCAAGCTTGCATCCTTGAGCATCCACAAGCACATGTCATCGCGCCAGGTTCAGACATTGAAGCTCCCAGCCTTGTCATAACAGAGTCGCGGGGTTACATAACTACTCTCAACGCTTCGAACTCGACCAGACAAATAAATTCTCGGCCTGACATGCTCCGGTGATGGAACAAAATAGTAGAGAGAGGACTAAAATTGCTTACACGAAACCACCATCATCCATCCAGCAGACTCGCTCGTCGCCACAATGGATGAATGCACAGCGGACGCATTCGTCAATCGTGACGATCCAATACCTGTCATATCATTCGGTACCCTGGAAGAGCTTTCAGACGAAGGCGACGATATGTCGGATGCTGACCGTAAAAGAGATCGATTTAAGAAGCGAGGAAAGGATGTGAAGAAGAATATCAAGAAAGTACAACAGAAGGCCTCGGAGAGAGGATCTAGCATACAGGACCGGCTGCTCGAGAAGTACGTTAGGGAACTTACAATAAGACTCCCTTGACTAATAATGGAGAAGGCTGCTTCAACAAGTAATACCTATCGAAGACCTCTCCTCGTCCAGGGCCGAATCACATCCATTTCAGGACCCTGCCGCCCGACCGTCCTTCTCTCTTCCTACAATGTCTGCGAACTTTCGACGATTTAATGCCCGTATTGGTGTAGTCTTTGTCTTCCAAGCAAAGCTCATACGGCTTTTGTCATGGAACACACCTACACATACACTTTCCTTCCTCGCCATTTACACATTCATTTGTCTGGATCCATACCTAATTACCGTTCTACCATTCGTAGTAATCCTTCTCGCCCTACTCATTCCAGCTTTCATTTCAAGGCACCCTGCTCCTCCCCCAACAATCACTACCTTCTCCTCACATACCGCATCATTCGGATACAATGCAGCAGGTCCTCCATTGGCACCAGCACCAACTGTCAAGCCAGTGAAGGAGTTATCCAAAGACTTCTTCCGCAATATGCGAGATCTCCAAAACTGTATGGAAGACTTCAGCCGTGTCCATGATCAGATCATACATCTCTTGACGCCTCCAACAAACTTCTCAAATGAGCCCGTGTCTTCGACTATATTTCTCTTTGCATTCTTTACTGCACTACTACTGTTTATTGCCTCACACCTGCTACCTTGGCGCATCATATTTCTGGCCATCGGTTGGGCGATCACAGCATCCAGCCATCCAAATATTCAGCGACAACTGATTGCAAC